TTTTTTTTTTTTTTTAACAATTTCTGAAATATTTTGGTCTGGGCTCGAGTTTTTTCGTCTTCTTTAATGTTTTTCTATTTATGTATTTACTAAAGTTGTAGTCTTGTTTGTTTATGCTGAAATTCTTGTTTAAGCAAGCTTGTCTGTGTTTTAATTGATTTCTTTATATTTTTTTCCCTTTGTCTTATCTGATTAGTTTGGTATCTTTGCTGTAGGAAGCAAAACCCATCTCAACTTAGGTGGGGAATACAGAGAATTTCAAGAAAAGAATCTTATGGGGTTGAGATAAAGTGGAGAAGAGATTGGGGTGTTGACGAATTGAGTGTTCAAATTGTTTTTTCTAAGTTATGTTTTTTCCTAGTTGATGGCATTTTAGTGCGAGGGTTTGGAGTGGAAATGGGGTTAGGTGCTGAAGCTTTTAGTGGGGCGGCTATGGATATAGGCAGTTCGAAATCGAAGGCGAGGAGAAAAATACTTAATGAAGAAGATGATGATGTGGCAGGGGAAGGTGGGTGTTGGAAGTTCAGATTCTTCGGGAGGTGTTTGGTCACGCGGCCGAAAGCCGATACATCTCTTAGTGGGTCTAGCACGGAATATGGTACGCTTGGTATTTATCGGTTGTTCGTGCATTTTGATACAACTCTATTTTTGTATTGTTGTATTGGGGAAAAATGGAAATGGACAGATGATTTTGCACTGAGAATTGAATATGGTTTTGAGCTAGCCTTATGATTATTTTGCTGTATTCGCCTGCATTGTTAGCCAGTCTTATGATTATTGTCTTGTTGATAAAATGCTGTTATATTATGTCTTGTGCTATTCAGTCAAGTTTCAACAAGGTTGTTTAGTTATGCGAGTGCTGTTAGACTATGAGTTTCTTCTATCATACTTTTTTTTAGCCTCCAAATTAGTGTACAGCAGTGTTATCTCGTGCAATATGCATTACTTTCTCATATACGCCGATAAATTTTGTTTTTGTGAACCAATGGAGTACGTTATATACTCTTTAGGATTATCCGATTATAATTCTCATACTGATAGAAATGGTAATAGCATATGGGTCCTTTACGATCTCCTGATGGTATAGCTGTAATGGTTTTCAGCATGAACTACAAAAAAACGGTGATATATATTCCTGAATATCTTGAAGGCATAATGCAAATAATCTTATTTAAAGCGACATTCTTTTAACTGGTTCATGTTTAGCAGAAAAATGCATAAAATTCCCTACAGAAGTTGCATTTATTCTCAAAGTTACCAAAAAAAAAGAACTATTTGTATGTAATCTGATTTACATTTGCAAATTTTACATTTATTTAATCTTCTATCATCAGCTGAAAGCAAATTCACAAACGACACAAGTGGAGACCAACCGGTGGCGGTGGTGGCTCCAGTAATATCATCTTCAACGAGTAGCAATGAAGAAAGTAGTGTCCCATCAACACCTAAGATTGATGAAGAACTGAAAATTTCTTCACAGCTTCGGAAGTTCACTTACAACGAGTTAAAAATGGCGACAAGGAATTTTAGGCCCGATAATCTACTCGGAGAAGGTGGATTTGGCCGTGTCTTTAAGGCTTGGATTAACGAAAATGACAATACTCCAGTTAAACCCGGCACAGGACTTACTGTTGCTGTGAAAACACTCAATCATGATGGGCTTCAAGGACATAAAGAGTGGCTAGTATGCAATTTACTTTTACCTTGCTTTATACAAAAACTTTTTTTTTTTTGTTTTTTTTTCATAATTAGGACAGACCTCAAAGGTAATTTTTTTACCATTAACCTGAAATAACTCAGTTTCATAATTGCTTTACTTATTATGGGTTCATTTATCATATTCCAGGCAGAAGTAAATTATCTAGGCGAGCTCATCAATCCGCATTTGGTCAAATTGATCGGCTACTGCATAGAGGATGACCAAAGACTACTCGTTTATGAGTTCATGCCTAGGGGAAGCTTGGAGAATCACTTATTCAAGAGTATGTAAAAAAAAAAAATAGTTACTTTGGATGGCCAACGTTAATAAAAACACAAGTAAAGTCACAATCCAACTTCCCTATTGACGATATGGGTCGCAATAGTTTTTGCGAATTCCCGATAATTCAAATCTAATCTTAAGAAAAAAAGAAAAAAATCACCTCTGCAGTATCAATTTTTGTATTCACTTATTTTTCTTCTGTTTCTTATGATGGGCTCTCATTATTAAACATTTCAATTTATTACCTTGTGCTTCTTTGCATATTTTGATAAAATGGTCCATTCATACTTCTCACAATTATAGGATCACTGCCTCTCCCTTGGTCTATAAGAATGAAAATCGCACTGAATGCTGCAAAAGGCCTTGCTTTTCTTCACGAGGAGGCTGAAAAACCGGTCATTTATCGAGACTTCAAAACTTCAAATATTCTCCTAGATGTGGTATGTAAAGCATGAAATTCCAATAACACGCACTGTCTTAACAGCTTCATTTATTTTGAAATATTTTCATTTATTTATTATCTTTGGTCTAGGATTATAATGCAAAACTATCCGATTTCGGGCTCGCCAAAGATGCCCCTGAAGGCGATAAAACGCATGTTTCGACTCGTGTGATGGGAACATACGGATATGCCGCGCCAGAGTATGTAATGACAGGTGTGCAAATTATTTATAAATTCTTAATTATTTATTAGTTATAAATATTAGAAAAACATAAAAAATTGAAATACATTGCACATTGTTTGAATAATCATAAAGGAATAATTTACTTGAGAAATTTTTATGACAGGACACTTGACGGCTAAGAGTGACGTGTACAGTTTTGGAGTGGTGCTCCTCGAAATATTGACCGGACGAAGGTCAATGGACAAAACCCGGCCCATCAATGAGCAGAACTTAGTGGAGTGGGCCAGACCCAACTTGGTCGAAAGGCGGAGATTCTACAGGCTGGTGGACCCACTCCTCGAGGGTCGTTTTTCGATTCGGGCCGCCCAGCAGGCTGTCCAGATGGCGGCCCGTTGCCTCAGCCGGGATGCGAAGATGAGGCCCGCAATGAGTGAGGTAGTTGAGGCTATAGAGCCTCTGATCAACTTGAAGGACTTGGCCTGCTCAAGTTCGTATTTCCAGGCCATGAACACGGGCCGAGCCGGTTTGAATGCGGCTAGCAAGAATGGACTTAAGTTGCAGCAGCCCATCAGAAGCCCGTCGATGCACACTAGACGGGCTTCGTCACCGTTTAATAATATTCAGACTCTTCAGTCGCCCGTGGCGAAAAATGTTTGAAGGTGGGAATTTGG